TATCAGTCCCTCCCCTCTTCCCCCACTAGCTGCTGGCCAGCCCAGCCAATCCAGCTCCTTGCAACTCCCTAGCCAGCCACCGGGAGCACTAGATAATTTATTCATTTATTCACCTCACTAGACACAGCATGAGGTGAATAAATGAATACATTATCTAGTGCTCCGCGGGCCGGCTTGAAACGGCCGCCGGGCCGTATACAGCCCGCGGGCCGTAGTTTGCCCATTGCTGACTTAGATGGTGTCTACTTGGTTTCTTGCTGTGCATCTCTATCATGCCCAATCTTGTTTCCTATTAATACAATACAGAGTTTGTTGCCCCTTGTGGGCTATGCTTCAAAAGAGATAGGCCAATTCCAGGTTTCTGATATTCTAGTGAAGTGAGTGCTGTAAGCATCTTCAAGACTTCGAGTACCCATTTTACTCAAAGTCCTACCACCTACCTATCCCCAGTTAAAATTTTCAACCCATATTTGCCCTATCCATTATGTGTTAAGTTTCGAAGCACGGTTTTGCTGGTGCGACAAATATTGCTTCTCAGCTTGCCAATGAACTGGGGGGGGGGGGGGGAAGAGGTGTGGAATTCAAAGATTAAGAAGCCAGACTGTGAGACTCAAGGACATTACACCAGGTGTCTGGCCAGACCTAGAGATACTTTCTCATAACAATATTTTTCCACTTGATTGGGCAAAGTGACCTGGTCCAGAGAGAAGAGGAAGAATTCAATGCTTTTATTATATGGGTTTGGGAGGGGTGTTGCCAGAACTGGTTTTGTTTTCATTAGTGCCAAACTGATGTACTCAATAAAGTTTTATACCGAGAGATTGAAATGTCTCGAAGGTGTTTGCTTGGTTGGGTTCATCAGTCGGAACCTTGACATTATGGGCTGCTGCTGCTACTTACATATGGCCTGCAGGCCATACTTTTTGCAAATGTGATGGAAACACTATTTCAAATGTCATTCGACCAAAAACATTAAGACAGTGAAGGAGAACACTCATTGAATAAATGTGTACACTTTACATTATTTATTTGGAGTCAGTGTTTCATTTAAACATGAGAAGAGAAGCTAGGGAAAAAAACTTCATTAGTCATGATGGTCTTAACTCAAAACTTGACTTATAATATCCATGGGATAAACTTGAGACTTAGATTTCAAATCCTGGCGGCTAGGGCAGTAACAAGAGCTGAACATAGTATATTATCTACAGCTAGAAATGGCAGCACCTTATTTATGAAATGCATATTGTAACATAGTTTTGACTGATTTTTTTGCAGTTCAGCAGCACTGATTGTGGCTGAATTTCTTTTTCTATTTCAGTTTCAGAAAAATAAATATGATCTTCAAGCAACCAAGAATAAACTAATGGAAGCTGCCAATTATGTAGATAAAGTAAGACCAGATATATGTTTTGCAGGAAAACCTGTTATCTTTTAAAATAACAAATCAGGAAAAGATGCATATTTAACTTCCTATTCTGTGTAATTTCCCACATTTTCCCAAAAAAGAAAAACGGAAACTAATGGATAGAAGAAGAAAAAACTTGGAGTAAAGATAAGGTTGTGGGAGAATTGCCTTTTAATTTAATTATTCTGTTACTGAAAAAAAATAAAGCCACAGAACAATTAATATTTATCTTCTAAAAATATCTATTCTTTTTATGCAAAAAAAGAAAATTAAAGAAAAAATGAAAAAAGGAACATACAACTATAGGAAAAAAAAGTTTAAATACTCAGAAAATTCATGTTTTTTATATATATCATGCAGCCAGATTTTAAGATAATATGTAATGTCTTTCCATGCTATCAATGGAATGTCACTTTTTAAATATAAAATAATTACATCTCTCTGATCCTGGATGGTAAATCCAGAATAACTCTGAAATAATGATTTTCCTTTCTACTCCTCGTCCATGATCATATATCAAAATTTGGGAATCTGTAGTCATGAATAATTATGGATATAACTGTAGATTCCAAAATTTTGGTATATAGTTTGAGGGCATCTTCACATCTTTAAACAACAGTGATCTTATCACATGAGCTGAGAGCAAATTTGGTGGAGTAGTTAAGGTGTCAGGCTAGAAACCAGGAGACTGTGAGTTCTAGTCCCATCTCGGGGCACAAAAGCAGCTGGGTGAGTTTGGGCCAATCACTCTTTCAACCCATGGAAGAAAGCAATGGCAAATTATTTCTGAAAAACCTTGTCAAGTAAACCTCAGAGACTTGTCTACCTAGTCTCCAAGAATTGGACACAATTGAACAGAAGATTAAAAAAAAAAAAGGAGTAAAGTGTCATAACGCAGTTAGTAACCAACTCTTTGTAGACATTATGTGAGGAGTCTATTGCCTAAAGAAATTATTTAATTTATCTCATTTTAAGATGTAGCAATATGGTTGATATGTTTTAAACCCTTTCTCATTGATTCAGTAGTATAGGATATCTTGAAGATGACTAATATCAACCTTAGTAATAAGAATTTTTCTATTTCATTTCTCCCCCCTATGATATTGCAATTGTGATGGCAGTGTTGAATGAAAGATCATCACTGATGGTGGGTGGGTGCTTTTGGAGCAGAGAAGTGTATAGGCCAGTGACGGCGAACCTATGGCACGGGTGCCAGAGGCGGCACTCAGAGCCCTCTCTGTGGGCACGCGCGTCGTCACCCCAGTCCTAGGCCTTCAGCTGGGTTTTATAAAACCTTTTCGCGTTAGGCCTCTGCCGCCATGTGCAAAAAAAAGGTTCAATCAATCAGTCAATTTCAACTTCTCGTGGGGAAAAAAAATGATCTTGCAAAGTTGGAATTGATTGAACTTTTTAGTCCCACCCAGTCTGCCGTTACCACTGCAGCTGTGCCCACTCAATGGGCCACACCCACCCAATGGGCCATACCCACCCAATGGGCCACACCCATCCGGCACCCGACGATGCATAAGTGGGTTTTGGGTTGCAGTTTGGGCTCTTGGTCTCTAAAAGGTTCGCCATCACTGGTATAGGCTGCTTTCATGCTTCGCAATACCTTTTCTGTTTGGAGACCAATCCCAGAAACCTGCAAACTACAAAAGAACTCAATTCATCAGATGTTCTTTGGAACATCATCATATTGTCTATCATGGACATTTCCTTCTCAGGGAGAAATAATAAGAAAGAATCTGTCACAAAACCTTCCTAGAAAGGTGGCTCATATTAGAGACAAAGTCTATTGGTTAACTAAAACTTTTCTACTTTTCTCCCCTCCTCAACTTTTAGTTTTACAGGTCGTTAAACATACGGATTGCTGTGGTTGGACTTGAAGTTTGGAATGACTATAATAAGTGTGACATCTCTGAGAACTCGCATTCAACGCTTTGGGCATTTCTTGCTTGGCGACGCAGATTACTAATACATAAAAAGCACGACAATGCCCAGTTGATTACGTAAGTTGCTGATTTTGGAACAGTATGACCCCTCTTCTCCTAGATGCCAATTACAGCAGGGATAAGGAACCTTGGACCAAATCTGGCCTGCTAGGCTGGATCAGTACCTTCTCTTGTTTTAAATGGAAGAAGGGTGAGGCTTCCTCATAAGTCTCTCTTCTTAAGTTCCTCCCTGTGAGATCATCTATCGTACTTCGGATGGTATGCAAAGTTAGATCTGATCCAGTTCCTCACTGTTGTCTCAGGAGAGTGTGTAGTGCAAGTAATCATCTTAGGTTACCTAAAATGAACTCCTTTCAAAATGTAACTGCATGCATAGATGGACAAATTTTATTCACCATTTGGTTCTCTCTGTCTTGCAACATGGTACAGTGGCATGTCCTATGGTTCTACTATTGGCTTGGCCCCTCTGATGGCTATGTGTTCGGCTTATCAGTCTGGAGGGATAAATTCGGTAAGTTACATTTGATAAATAAATACTTGCCTTGTTCAAAACAGTTTGAAATAAATAGGAACAAACCCAAAACGAAAAGATGTTTTGTGCTATAGGTCCCTTCCACCTTTTCTTAAAATTGGTGGGTTGTGTTTTGTTTTGTTTTGTTTTTGTCAAAAGGGTGGAATTTCAGGATCCAGTTTCTTTAATAGACATTACCTCTATGGTTTGCTTTAAAAACAAGCATGGGGAAGGGAGAAAAAAGAATGTTTTGCTGGTAAGTTTGTCCACAAAGGGGTGAAAATAATCAGTGGGGCGCTCTGTTTGTTTCTGCTAGTTTTTGCCCAGATTGTTTTATACAGGCTGCAACTTTAACCAAATAAGACATACTCACCCAATAAAACTTGCTGAAAGTAGTTATTTAAGCATTATCCTAATGATAAAGTGAGGACTCTGAATTGACTTGATGATCCAATAGTTTGTTTTCTTGACCAGCTATCACAGCATTCTCAGGAGTCTTCTCCAACACCAAAGTTCACAATTGTCAATACAACAACAACAACAACAACAATAATAATAAAAAAGTTGGAAGGGACCTTGGAGGTCATCTAGTCCAACCCCCTGCTCAGGCAGGAAACCCTATTCCATTTCGGACAAATGGCTGTCCAATCTCTTCTTAAAGACTTCCAGTGTTGGAGCATTCACAACTTCTGGAGGCATGTTGTTCCACTGATTAATTGCTCTAACGGTCCAGAAAGTTTCTCCTTAGTTCTAGGTTGCTTCTCTCTTTGGTTAGTTTCCATCCATTGCTTCTTGTCCTGCCTTCAGGTGCTTTGGAGAATACTGTTTGTATGCTGCTTCTTCAAAATCCAAATTTCACTTTCATTGAGCGACACAGGAAAAATCAGTGCCTGCGTAAATCAGATTTTTATTGGTAGAAACACATCATGGCATCTGAATATCTCTCCAAAGTCTTCATGGTCACTTTATCAAGCGCCGCTCTGTAGCATATTTCTTGACTGATGGTTCCTTTGCTGTTGATAGTTGATCCTAAAAGGCAAAATCTATCCACCACTTCCATATCTCCATTGTCATTTCTAAGTCTGCTTGCTGTGCCTATTGTCATTAGTTTATCGTTCTTTATACAATAAATTAGATTATATCTTTATAATCTTGCATTCATTTTTTATTGTGCTCCATGACTTTCATTACCAAATGATGTATACACCTACTGCAGATTCTTGTGCTTATTGTAGGTTTTCCAGAATTTTTACTCAGAGTTGCATTCTTATGTAGTACATGTAGTCATGTATTATTATTTTTAATTGTATTTTTAATTTGTTTAAATATTTTTTTTCTTGTGCAGTGATGTTTAAATACCCAAAGTTGCTTAGTTCAGATGGGCAAACTTATACACTTAATAAATACATTAAAATAGATGGATGCCATTGAACATAGTAAAAAATGGACAAGTTTGGGCTATGATCTTAATGCACTCTGCTTGCCTAAATGGGCCAGGATGGGGAATATACCGCAGAATTGTAATATTAAGTCATCTTAATTCTGTGCTTGGACAGGATCACTCTGAAAATGCCATTGGAGTTGCTGCCACTATGGCCCATGAGATGGGTCACAACTTTGGCATGAATCATGATTCAGTTGGCTGCTGCTCTGCCAGTCCCAGAGATGGAGGGTGTATTATGGCTGCTGCAACAGGGTAAGTTGTTTGTGTCTATGTGCAAAAAATCTGCAGTAATGAAGTGTTTCGCTTAAATTAAGTCCTTCACAAGGAAAGGGACTTTACCTGAATTACTATTTTGTCCATGACCGATACAAGATCAAAACAAGCAAGATGATGGACAACAGTGTCATAAGGCAAACACCATCCCTTTCTTATGTACAGATGTTCAAAAGAGTCAGGGCTTACAGTATATTGTAACATCACAAGTGCATAATATTGTATTTCAATAATATTAAATAATTCAATATTATAAAATAATTTCACACTGTATAGGACATTGCACTACTCTTTTTCAATCTTTCAATAGAATTTAATTTACTACTAAAATCGACATTAATTTTAATTTTTTTAAGCTGTTTCGTACATAAAGAATTGAGCAAAACACTGTTAACATTTAGAGGGTATCAGTTCAAAACCAAATTCCTTCTTTGACCCCAAACAGGTTATGCAGTGCTTGTTTTCACCTTTATAGGCAAATGTTTATGGAGATATTCAATCATTCAGGTCATGGTTGTCCCAAAGGTGCTTTTTCAGGAGGCAACTGGATTTTCTTGTTTTTTCTTTGGAGATGTTTCACTTCTCATCCAAGAAGCTTCTTCAGCTCTGACTGAATGGTGGGGGGTGGAAGGATTTATATTCCTTGCAGCCAGCTGGTCATTTGCATTATTTTAGAGAGTCATTGAGGCCATTTGGAGGTTTATCGGCATCCTCAGGGTCACTTGAGTAGTGTAAATGTGTGTGGAGCCTTCTTGGCTGCAGGATGTGAGGACACAGATAAACCTCCAAATGACCTCAACGATTCTCTAAAAGAAGGCAAATGACCAGCTGGCTGCAAGGAATATAAATCCTTCCATTCCCCACCATCCAGTCAAAGTTGAAGAAGCTTCTTGGATGAGAAGCAAAACATCTTCAAAGAAAAAACAAGAAAGTCCAGTTGCTTTCTGAAAAAGTACCTTTGGGATGACCTTTATAGGCAATTGGTCCAGATGTATCTCTGGTTCTTCAGGAACCAACATCTTCCAAAGGCAATTTTTTCCAACTAGGAAAATAATCACAGCAGCTGGCAAGTTAGAATTTGTCTTTCAAAATTGTAGCCCTTGTTCTAGATGATTATGGACATAATTGTCATTCAGCCAACATTAACTTTCCAGCAAAGTGGACCCACTTTCCCCCCCTTTTCCTTCCTTACTATCAAGTAGTAGTTCTCCTTTTAGGGAACTAAGTCAAGTGAGTCACCAAGGTTACAATAATATTTATTAAAGGAACAAGTAGAGATTGCGGCTTGGGGACAGTTGTTAGATTTTCTGCAGGATAAAGAGAAACATGAAGTTTTGACTTTGAGATGTGAGAATTAGATTTGATTTGACTAGAGAAATATTGTGGATTGTCAGATAGAGGTAGTCCTTGATATATGACCACAATGGGGCCCAAAATTTCTGTTGGTAAGCAGGACAGCTGTTAAGTGAATTTTTGCCCTGTTTTATTATCTTTCTTGACACGTTTGAGTGAATCACTGCAGTTAATAACATGGTTTTTATGGGAATTTGAGCCAGTTGCCAAGTGTCCAAATTTTGATCATGTGACCATAGGGATACTGCAGTGGTTGTAAGTGTGAAAAACTGTTATCATTCACCTTTTTCATTGTAACTTTGAATGGTCACGAAACGAATGGTTGTAAGTTGAGGACTACTGTATATAGCTATATTAACTATATACTTACTGTATATGTTTACAGTTAATAGGCTTCTATATGCTAGATTAAAGTTAAACTAAGAATATATATTTTTTCATATTGGTTGGTTTAAGTAAACTTCAACGGTTTACTTAAACTTAGAGGTTGTTGTATTATATAATTGTCTCTGTATTGAAAAAAGTCAGACATCATTTTTATATATGTTATTTTAACTTTTCCCTTCTATCTCCCCCTTTTTCCTTTTCCCCTTTATGTTAGTGTGTATTTTATTGGGTTTTTTTTTTTAAATAATTAATAAAGCACAACTCTGGAACTTTTTTGGAGGTACTAACGCTTAAATAATGGCACTCAGTTCAATACTGCTCCTTGGGTTTTCACAGGGCACCCTTCCCCAGAGTCTTCAATGAATGCAATAGGAAAGAGCTGGAACGGTATCTGCAATCTGGCGGTGGGATGTGCCTTTACAATATGCCAGATACAAGGACCTTATATGGAGGACAGAGGTGTGGAAATGGGTATCTGGAAGAAGGGGAAGAATGTGATTGTGGAGAAGTGGAGGTAATTCCTTTTGGTTGGTTTCACAGATTTTCAGAGTCAACTGGAAATTAGTATTTAGGTATTCCTTAAGAAATAATGAGAAGTACAGTATGTTCCTCTTGTTACCTTTCCCATTATAGCCTCCACCAAATATTTTTCTGGTTTGAAAAGCTTCTGTTTATTCTAGCAATGTCTTAATGTAACTTAGTGAACATGGGGAGAAGCTTCAGAGTCAGTTCCTTCCACCCACACCTCCTCATTTCCTTTTTTTGCTACTTGAGAGGAACATCACTCCTCTTCTTTCTAGAGTTTAGAATCTGCTAATGCAGTCCAAAAACATTTGGAATTAATTATTCAGATAAAATAGCAGTGAGCCAATATTAATGCTATTGTCCGAGAAACTTAAGAGCAGATTCCATTGTTTGATAAACTCGGACCTGATATTTTGGTGTTTTGGTCTCAATTTATTTGAGAATGGAAGCATTTGAATCCCAGATGTGACATGTTTAAGAAGCAACTTTGAAGCTTCTTGGAGGTTGTTATGCTTGGCATGAAAAGTAAAAGCATGTCTAGCTACAATCTTACAAGCCACCCAGAAAGACAGCCCAATTGCTTTCCAACATTTTTAGATCTAGAACATCTGTTCCGTAAGTGCAGCATGTGTCATTTCTGTTATTTCTTCTGCAGGAATGTCATAATCCTTGCTGCAACGCCGCTGATTGCACTCTGAAGCAGGATGCTGAGTGTGCTCATGGAATTTGCTGTCACAAATGCAAGGTGGGATCGCTTTCCTTTTATCTGTGCCTTTCGGTTCCTATTTAGTTTCTTAATTTTAATATAGATAATAAAAGGCCTGAATTCCCATTTGAATCAGCACTCTGATTTGGAAAGATTGTAACCTCGGGGCACACATCCTCTTCTGAGTCACTTCAACAGGAAGAAAAGCAGGGTTAGGGTTACACGACTGCTTCATCTACTTGTGAGTAATTAAGTGCCAGAGAGGACTGGTTGGTGGCACAATGTCAGCTAGGATCCCTATAGGAATGGGGGAAGGAGTAGAGATTGTGGGGAAGGCCTTAAAGAATCCCAGCTTCAGTCAACCAGAGGGTTCAGTCTACCAATCATAACCATCTATCAAGCAGTGTGTGTTAACATGCCACGCTCTTCAAGGCTCTATGGAAGGCCAGCAGGATTGGGCCAACCTAATCTCTGGAGGGATCATGTTCCAGAGGGCTGCTGCCATTCTTCTTCAGGGCCCCACCAACTGACATTCCTTGGCTGACAGTACCCACAGCATGCCTCTCCTGCCGCATTGCATAGGACAGATAGAGACAACCAGGTTCTGATTTTCTCAATTTTATATCTTTGGGAAGCCACTCAAAGCAGCTGTTTTGGCTAAAATTAGTCCCACCCTAAGATTAGAACAACTACAGATGGAAGGTTTGTCTTTCAAGGAGGCAATTGACCTAGCTGGGCCTGAAGTTTAAGCCTTCCTGCTGGCTTGGGTTACCAGTCTTTTTTATATGTAGTATCTGGCAAGACAAAACCACATTTAAGGTTTTCTCTGACCCTGCTTCTTACTGATAGTTTTCTGTTGTCTGTTATATTTTACATCAGGATTTCTCTACAGATTGAATTTCATTTCTTGGGTAGGGTGGACAAGTTAAAATATACAGACAAAAGATTCCTGTGTATCACTTTACATTATAGCTTTCCTAGAAAATGTACTTAAAATAGTCTTGGTATGCTGGGTTTTTCCCATGCTCCTCCTGGAGGCCTTTTTTTCATAAGTGCATCCCTTGACCCTACATTTGTGGCCAACTGGTCAGGCAAAGCCACTCAATATGCAACGTTTGGATTTTTGCACACCACTGCTGTCTGATATTTTGGATTGTTTGTGGTGGCATTCAAAAGCTTAGATCTTTACATGGTGGCTTTAAAAACTTAGTCCTTTACATGGTGACAGCTGAATACAGCTGTCTAGATACCATCACAGAGCAAAAGTACCTTCCATGCAAATTCAAGCAGTGACCACATCTCCTGTTTTGGTTAAAAGTGAAAGTGTTTCTTAAGTGTTGCATGCACACAGCAGTTCCTTTCCCTTTCTTGTACTTGTTAAACAAATGAAACTTCAGAATCAGCATTAGGTGCATGATCTTCCTGAAAATAAACAGTGTAGCCTATTTGCTGTTAAAATAATGATTTAAAATTTTTATAATATATGCCAGACCTTCTACATAAGACAGAAATCAACTTCCACTTGCTCTGTCCATTAAGCCACTTGCTAAAAGTTATCATTGCATCTGCCAGGAGCTTTTAAGCAATAAATATGATTAAAAAAAAACAAAACCAGAAAATGCTGGGAATTGAAAATGAAATATTTTCCATCCCAACTCGGTGCTCTCTCTCTCTGTGATATGGGCTGTCCTGTGGAGAAAAGGTATAAATGATCAGTAATGAAGCATTACTGAGAGGAAGTCTAGATTAGGATATGGTTCAAGATTGCCTTTGTTTGAAAAAGTTTCCTCAGGTATTTGACAAAAAGAGATCCTTTTTATAGAATTGAGGCAACAAAAATGTAATTTGGGAACAATAATAAAACGTTTCTTCCCTTTAGTGATGCTTCAAGAATGAGGTTGAATGGAAATGATATTTGCTATACAGAATGAAGGGAACTGAAAGTCAGGGTTGTCTTCAGAATAAATATATGGATATATACATATTTAAGTGCTTGGATCAATGCTTAGCCACCTTAACTGCAATTCCCAAGTATTCCATACTACCCTGAAATAAACACCCAATTACTTTCCCTTCGTTTAGTTGGTTTCACCTGGAACACTTTGCCGGGAACAGGCGAGAACATGTGACCTACCAGAACACTGTTCGGGCAAATCACCATTTTGCCCTGCAAACTTCTATCAGTTGGACGGTACACCCTGTGAGGATGGGAGGGCATATTGCTACAATGGAATGTGTTTGACATATGAGCAGCAATGTTTGCAGCTCTGGGGATACGGTAAGGACGACTAATCTCTATGAAAGACAGAGGCCCCTTGCATTCACAGGTGTAAGGAAAAGGAAGGAGAAGATTGTTTTTATTTTTAGTTTGTGGAACTATAATTACATCAAGGAAGAAGAACAGAGAAATGAAAAATCCAGATGTTCATCTGCAGAGGCTATTGTGATCAATAAAGGCCAGGCAATTACTTTTATGCATAATTCTGAGCCTTGCTTTGCTGAATTATGGTTTGTTGGATAACATGTTGATTGAGTCCATATAACTCTACCTTAATCCTAACATGAACATCTGGGTTCATACATAACACACTACATCAGAATGCCATAGTGTGACCCTAGCCAAATCAAGTCTGGGTGATTTTTTTTAAAATTTATTTTTTAAGTTTGAAAATTGATTCCAATTTTCATCCCAAGGGCTAAAAAGTCTTTTTAAAATGCAGTGTGACACTTCTTATGCTTATATTATAAATAATCATACATATAGATAGATATGTGAGGATGGAGGTTCATTCTCAGCTTTTGGGTTGGTTTCCAAACATTTTGTTACCAGGCTAGGTAACATCTTCAGTGGAATTTAGGGGGTATCAGTGTTGGTATTCTTCTGCTTATAAGGGCTTCATGTGGTCAGTGGGTCTTGTGATGGGGCGATCACGTATCTATATCTAACATACCAGCATACAGATATGTTAGATATAGATAATCGTAGATTATATTTGCACGTGAATAATCATGTCTGGCAAACCCCATGAGGATCATATGAAATATATTTTATACAGTGGGCTAGGACAGTTTCACCTGTCCTAGTAAAGCAACAATTTTGTCCTTACTGATAGGTTCATACCCAATGCTACGCAGCTGTGTGATACAGTTGATAAGTTACCTTTCACAAATACCATACATGTGAATCTTTTCCATACAGGAGCAAGGCCAGCCCCTGACCTTTGCTTTGAGAAAGTTAATGCTGCTGGAGATTCCTATGGGAACTGTGGGAAAGATATCACTGGGAACTACAGGAAGTGCGACACAAGGTAGAAAGACACAAGGACAACTGTTTTCATGTGAGATGAGATCATTCGGTATCCTCACAAGTTAAAAGATGAGAAAATGAATTCAGTCTATATTGCAAATAGCTGCAAATTAATGGGCAATTTTGTTGGGCAAAATTGTCACTTTTGCTTTGCTCATATTAAATCTTTCAGAACAAGTTCATACCATGACTTGCTGGTTGTAAAAAGACTGAGATTATTTTTCATGACCTCCTATCTATGAACATTTCCCCACTATTCCTTGTTGCGTACATAAATAATGTCAATTAAAAAACAGTAAAGAAGGGACTCATGAGTTGTGTGAATATGAATATATCATCTAAAGTAAAGAAGTAAGGAGCTCCTTACTTCTTCCAGCAGATTTCTCTGAAAAATCTTTTGAAGCTTAAAGCTTTTCAACAATTCCAGACTGTTTTCATAAGTAACCCCCTTTTTTAAAAAAAGTGAAGAAAAAAAGAAAATCCACCAATACTTTGGTCCCAATATGGATCAGGACTTTCCACACTTGATACTGAAAAAAAAGACATATGGTGTTCCATGGTGGGATATCAAAATGTTCTTTACAACTATAAGCATGCTCATTTTCTTGCAATTCCATAATCCTTAGATACACAGGGCCAACAAAGGTTATATTAATGAAAAGCAGAATTAAATTTAACTCAGAAAGTAATGGAAAGTCACTGTAAATGTTTGAGTACATATACATAATTCTGGAGACCCACCAGGAAGTAAGTCATTGCTTTTTTCTGTGGGCAATGTCATAAAGAAAAGTTTTTAGTTGATGAAAAAAGCAATGGCTTATTTCCTGGGGGGTAGACTCTATGTGACATTGGCTTTTTAATTACCCTGTTATTGATAGGGTAATCTTGAGGTCAGTGAACATGAACTAAGATATTCAGCATCTAAGTAATATACTTTTCAGCACGTAGCATGGAATGTGATTCACTAGGTCCCTCAAGACTCTTCATTTTATTGGAAGTGAATAATGTTATGGAAGCCTTTGTGTTGGGTGGGTGTGAGGCTAACATCTTAGCCAGACTCACAGATTTTTTTTCTTTGCAGAAATGCTAAATGTGGCAAGATACAGTGCCAAAGTTCTGCTTCTAAGCCAGTGGAGTCCAATGCTGTTGCAATTGATACGACTATCAAATTAAATGGAAGGGAAATTCATTGTCGTGGTACCCACGTCTATCTAAATGAAGAAGATGAAGGAGATATATTAGACCCAGGTCTTGTGATGACAGGAACCAAATGCGGTGACAGTCATGTAAGCCCTGGCTGTCTATTGCACCTTATTCTGCTTCAAAAATACATGTTTGCTTTTTCCCAAAATTAACTGCATGCATGCAACAATTTGTTTTAGAGGTTTCAAACCCGAAAGGAGTCCTCAGAATCAACAACTTGGAGTAAGAAGGACACGCTGGGTGTAGCTTCCCTCCCTTGGAGCAGGCTGCTCTTTGGCTAAGATCAGTGCTGTCACTCCCATTACAAATCTTGAATCTGGATGTATTCACAATCTGCACAACATGTTGGATGCTGCACTACAGATTTATGGAATTTGGGGAAGAGTTAGTTTAGTAACCCTTCATTCCTCATAAACTGTTGCTCTTTCTTTCCTTATATTAACTTCTATTAGTGGATCATGCTGGGCTTAAGTAGATGCTGACAGCAATGGTCTTGTCTATAGGATAAGTGCAAGAGTTGGTTTCTCAGGGTTGATGCAGTGGTTTAACACCCCAAGCCTGCCTTATACCCAAATCATTTAATAGCATTATTCCTGTAGTACAGCATTTCTTAAACATTTTTTACTATATTAAAAATTGCTCTAGTATAATTCTGAATGTTTGGTTTCTCCTACAGGTGTGCTTTGAGGGCCACTGTCAGAATACCTCCTTCTTTGAGAGTGGAGATTGTGGAAAAAAGTGCAACGGCCATGGAGTAAGTATCTGCCTTGTATTCAGATACCATGTGACTGTATTTATTCCTTGCTTACTTGGCCAGCTCTTATTCTTTTAGCTGGGTTTCAGAAAACTAATAAGCTATCTAGATAGCATCCATGGAGAAAGATGTCCTATCAAAGATATGCCTGGCTGTAGAAGGACTTCCAGTTCAATTACAGTTGGAGAACTAGTTTGGTATGATGGTTAAGGTATTAGCCTAGAAACCAGGAGACTATGAGTTTAGTCCCACCTTAAGCATGAAAGTCAACTGGGTGACCTTGGGCTATTCACGCTCTCAGCCCAACCCACTTCACAGAGTTGGGGTGGGAAAATAGGAGGAGGGAATATGTTATGAACATTGTGTATGTTCACTGCTTTGAGTTACTCATAAAATAATAAAGCTGGGATCAAAATCAAATAAATAAATATGTAAATAAATAAATAAATAATCAATCTCTGGAACAGGAATCAAACACATTGTTTAAAAAACATTCTTGTTTAATTTGTACATTGTCCAAAATATATTCTAGAACAGAAATGTACACTATATATGTTCTTCTAGCACCCTATCTGTGCTCTGCCATTACCTTGAAATCATATGGCTAAAATTTGGCAGCAAAATGCTCATTTTTAGTAAGCAAAACAATAGGGATTGATGAGAACAGTATGACGAAAACAGGAATAACAAATATAGCCTTCTCCCGTTTCAGTGATCTTAGCATGTCAAATGGCTTTCTGTGGCTTTTTTAAAGGTACCACACTTTTAAAAAACACATACACTCTCATTTTAGGAAAATAATTTTTCCATCCTATATTAACACATGAACTGCATAATAAATAAGGAATTAAAATGTATGCCCGTGCCACAGCTTTTAATTTAAAGTAAAAATTGAATGACTATAAATGCTTTTATACTTTTCATATTTTGTCCTAAGAGAGGTTCAGCAGAAGTTAAATGGAAGAAAGAGGAACAAAATGCAAAGCATACTTTTGTATTTATGATCTATTTTTCTTGGAATATTTAATAGCAAAAGTCGGATTGTTCACTAAGCAATCGTGTTTATGGCAAAGTGGTGGTTGAACGGTGAGACACAGTAAAAATGTTAGAGTAGTTGTCCATCATGCATTTCATTTGTTTTCTGGATACATATGCATTGACACTTTTCTCACAGTTTTAAACAAATCCTAGGGTTCTCTTCAGATAGGCTATGAAGTGTTATATAGATCTTAAATATCAAATGTTGGATGTGGCTTTCCTTAAGCTGTGGTTTTACATTTGAGAAGAAGTTATGGCCATTTGTTATGGAGAGGGTATTTATTGGGAGGTTAAAAATAGTGGGATGTCATCTCTGTTCCTCTTCAGGAATGCACATATAAGTAACAGTGAATTTTGAAGGATGGAAATATATCCTTTGTGACTTAAGTGTAAAAAATGAAAAGAATGTTCAAACACTGCATTTCTTGGGAGGTATGATGGATATAACCATGGATTGTCTGGGTGACTTTTAGATACACTGAGTTCTAACAAAACCCAATGCAAATTGCAAAAGCTTCTTGTGCTGTTTGGATTGGCATGAGCAGAGTGTTTACTACAGAAGTAACACTGATGGTGTTCTCTCAATACAGACTTGCAACAACAATCACAACTGCCATTGTTTCAGTGGATGGGCACCTCCATTTTGTGATAAACCTGGAAAGGGAGGAAGCCTGGACAGTGGCCCCATGCTTGAAAAAAGTGGGTCTAATTTATATTTTAATTTGATTAATGACATTTGAACAGAATTTGTGGGGCAGGAATTTGGGTGAGCAGATGAGGTAAAGGACCACAATGTATTGAGTGGTCCATACCAACATAATTGAGGGAAAGATGGAGTTTTTGGCAAGTGACGTTTTTGTCTCTTTCATGTTCAGCATTGGAACACATGACCCAGATATGTCCTTTACTATTACCTGTTCAAATACTGGCATCCTACAGTGGGGGTTTTTGTGTATGTGGTGGTTGCATTGTAGCACATTCAGTGAATTTGAATAATTTTGCCTTTTTTTTTCTGGTCCAGATCCTATTCCAATCATCATAGGTGTCCTGGTTTCCATCTTGCTTTTGACTTTAATTGGACTAGCTTTTTGCTGTTATAAATGGAGAGCCAAACTTGTGCCAATTAAGAAGATTATCTTTATTTCCAAGAAAACCCAACAGTCCAGGTGAATGAATGAATGAATGAATGAATGAATGGTTTGTCAGTACATGAGAAAATTGCTTTTTTTATGGTAAGTAGGTATGAGGGTCAATGTGATGTTGCTCATATCCCCTTATATTTCATTTGTTTTCTGGATATATATGCTTGATAAGCCAGTATTCTTTTATTTATATCTGTATTATAAAGGTACCATTACAGTTTCTGGAAAGGCTTTGGAGACCATATTTAAGACTTTTAGGGAAAGGTTACGTATGGCAAATCTCAGTCTGTAGATCTCTGTCCTAAATTGATTTATAAACACAGTGGCTGAGTACATATAAGAGGTGAATTACACATAAGAGGCTTAGTATAGTGTGTGAACTATAATATGAAATATATTCAGGGCATAATTCCACTTAATTTTTAAATAAAAATGCTCCAACACTGGAAGTTTTTAAGAAGAGACTGGACAGCCATTTGTCCAAAATGGTGTAGGGTTCCTGCCTAAGCAGGGGGTTGGACTCGATGACCTCCAAGGTCCCTTCCAGCATCATCATCATCATCATCATCATCATCATCATCATCATCATCATCATCATCATCATTATTATTATTATTATTATTATTATTATTATTATAGACCTGTCAGTACTATAGATTGCCTGCTAGAAACCCTGTTATGAAAAGAAGTTTCTTGTTATATTTAACAAGAGATTTCACACATAGAAATATGAATTGTTACAACTTGGCTACTGAGTATATTGGCCTTTTTCCAATGTTAGTCTACATAAAAACTTGTGGTTTTATTTGTAAGACATTCTTTATACAAATAAAGCAAGTGCAAGTGCAAAAATCATTTATAATACTTGTTTGTCTCTATTGTTTGGATACAGCCCACCTCTTTCCATTCAGAAAGAAGTGGATGGACATGCCAACCCAGCATTCAAATCGAAAACTCCACAAGGACAGAGAAAGGTACTTTGAAATGATTAATTTCTAATCAAACCTTTGTTGATCCATGCTCTGATTCCTCAGCATTTTAAAATACACCACCAAAGGAAATATCTTAGCTGTACAACTAATTTTCTTGTTATGTTCTAAGAAACTTGTTCTATATGTCAGTTCCCATAATCTCTGAACTAGACCATTTTGGAATCTTCACCCATTTTTTTTCTCACTGCAAATCATTATTTATATATTTATTAATTATTTGTTAATTTATGTTGTACTCGAGACAGTGTAAGTAGGAGATCTGTCATTTTACTCTTATAGCAATCCCTCAGGGGAAGGCTGGTCTGAAATATAATACCTGACTCAGTTGCTCAATGAGTTACTTAGTCAAGTGGAGGCTTCCAAGCTCCCCATCTTAAACACCATACTATATTATAATGCCTCTTAATTTTGTTCTATTTTAGAGTTGCAAATCGTATTTATTGCAAAAAATGTTTCTAATAAGGAACATGTATAGATTTTGTTTTAAATGTAGTCTTCCATGAAACCACGTCTGGAGCCTATAAAAATAAGGACACAAGAATAAACAGAAAAATACACACGCACACACACTCTAAGGCAAAGCAGCCAGGACATAAAATATATCAGCAGCATTTGGCGGCACTCATTCAAAAAGATACTTAGAAAACAGAAGTGTAGTGATTGCTGTGAATGTGTTTGATCCCCATGTGTATTTGCCAGAGTAGGGAAAAGGTAAGACAAAATGAGTTTGACTCCTGGTGACTTAATGGACACATTCCTCCAAGCAGTTTGGAGTTGTTCTTTGACTTCCAACTCTCACTTATAACCATGCAAATCCCTTGAGGTCCCCCAATTAAGCATGAACTAAGTCTATCCTACTTCGTTTTGATCCCAGATTGGGTCAGTCCAGCGCTGTCCTCTGCTGAAGCCAGGAAAAAAGTTGGTTATCAATCAGTCACACTAACTAATAATATACCGTAGAAATGCCATCTTCCTCTTTGTGCTTGTAGATTACTGATATACAGAATGCACCCTCAAAACCTGAAGTGCTGTATTGCCAGCCACCTGCAGAGTTCAAGAGACAGGGGCAGCCACCACCCCCGGTTTTTCCAGCTAACTATACAAAGAAACTCCCCTTTCTGGAACATCAGACCGAGGAGAAACATTTGCCAAAACGAACTCCGCCAAGCAGGCCTGCACCTCCACCTCCAAACGTCATAGTTCAGCAGGTGAAGAATTTATATACCTATGAAATCCTCTTTGTCAGTAACTCTGGGTAAGCTGTACAGGTGTTTTAAAAATAGTGAACATTCAAACAACTGCATTTGGTATTTGCTAGGAAAGGCGTGCTAATGAAACTTTAGAGTAGAAGTATCTGCTTCAGTGGGACTATACATTGTGTATAATTGGATCATATATTTTTCTCATCACAGATATAAACCGTGTATCATTTGGGTGTGTCTTATATGAGATTGACTGTCACTTGTACTGACATGACCTGGCCTATAAGGAGAGCACTCAATTCTTTTGTGTAAGCAAGTATTGGCAAGGAAAATATATAGGATTATATAAGGGCAGATGGGTTTTTGACTGATGAATTGATGCAGCAAGGGAACATAGTGGTTGATGTGGTAATATATATGAAAGTAGTCCAGGACCCAGCATTACCATAAGAGAAGTGTTTATTCTCAGGAGAATGGTTTTGCTTGTATATATCAGAAGGAGAGAACTAAGCTTTAAAAAAAGATTCCCATTAACAAATAGCAAAGGACTTGCATTTCTGTATTTTGATGGGATTACTGTCAAAGTTTAGTAGGGTAGCATATAGGGGCTTGAGAGCTACAAAAAGGGAGAGGGAGGAGCTCCTCACAAACCAGATTTCTCTTACTGCCCTTACCACTTCGTCTCAAACCAGGTTGAACTTGGTTGGCAAAACCAATAAGGTTGAAATGACAGCACCACCTTGTGTCTGATGAATTTCCCTTCCAATCTGTTTTCTGCCTGGAACATCCCCTCATTTCAGTGGCCTGGAGGTGTGACCAGGCAGGACTTTATTTTTAGTGTGGTATAATGTGTAGTTGGTTTAGTAAACCAACTACAGCTTTTTAACTTAGCCTCCTGGCTGAACCAAAGCATGTCTCAATATTATCTTTCATTAGTTGCTAGGCCCTGACAGGCTATAACTGTTCATCCATTGAAACCAAGGGTGCCCAGCTTTTCCTGAATATGATTGTGCAAATACATCGTGGATGTATGGACATGACAGTTATGATGCTTAGATTCGGAATCTGTCTGATCTGATTTATCTACAACAACCAGAAAGTCTGGCATGGGACTGCAATGAACAGAACTCTGAAACTGATGCAGCCTGAAGAAAATACTGCTATTGTATTTCATACTAACTGATGTTTCTGAGCTTTCTGTAAGATCAGTCCCATATATAGCACATTGCACTAATCTGTACAACTAATTGCTAGAGCAGTGGTTCTCAACCTGTGGGTAGGGACCCCATTTGGGGTCGATCGACCATTTCACGGGAGCCGCCAAGCAAGGCTGTCTGGCATTTTTTTTGTCCGCCATTTTTCCCCTTTTCCGGCGGGTGCCTTACCTCCCTTGAGCTGGGCCAGCTGGTGGTCGGCCTGCTCCGTCTCTGCCGCTTGCCAGCTACGCCTCGGCCGGCGCAGGGGGCGGAACCACGCATGCGCAGCGCTCCTGGGCAGGGAAAGTCGTCGACTTACGACCGGTTTAGTCCTCGACTTACGACCGGTTTAGTCCTCGACTTACGACCGGTTTAGTCCTCGACTTACGACCGGTTTAGTCCTCGACTTATGACTGGTTGGGGTCGCGGCATTAAAAAGGTTGAGAACCACTGTGCTAGAGCATAAACATAGAAATAGAGATGCAGTGCCATATGCATATAGGTAAAACCAGGGATAAAATGGGCCTTTCAGAACAAAAGAACAATGTTTCCTTCCTACAGATTCTTAAATCCCATCCCATACCTTTTCACATTGATTCCTGACTCTGACTTCGGCTTTCTTATATGGAAAATCAGCAGCAGTTGAGGAGGGGTGTGTGAGCCATGGGCGGACAGATAAACAGAGAGCAATAACACTTAGACTTTTTGCAGCCCTCTCTAAGTGGTTCACAGAGTCATCAGATTGCCCCCAACAATCTGAGTCCTCATTTTACTGACCTCAGAAGGATGGAAGGTTAAGTCAACCTTGATCCGGTAAGGATCAAATTCCTGGCAGTGGGAATGCAGAGTCATCCTGCACTACTGCATTCTAACCACTGCACCACATTGGCTCTTGATACACACAGATACACATACACCCACAAACACAGGAAAAGCATGGTGGGAGGAATTTATGATGTTTTTTCATATACATCTTCCAAAAATGCAAATTTTCTCTTATTATATAATATACTTCATAAAGCATGAAAAGGAAGAACAGATTATAATTACCTTAAATTGGCCTTCTCAAATCTGGTGGCCTCCAGGTGTATTGCATTGCTGCCCATGAATTCTGAAGTTGCAACACCACCACATTTGGGCAGTTTCAAGTTGGGGAATACACCTTAAATCATGAATAAGTACTGTTTCTTCTGCCTAATAAATTGCTTTTCATTCTGAGCTCTTAATAGATATCTATTTATCTACCCAGTTATTAGATCCGTATTATGTTTATTCTCTCTCTCTCTCTCTCTCTCTCTCTCTCTCTCTCTCTCTCTCCCTCTCCCTCTCCCTCTCCCTCTCCCTCTCCCTCTCCCTCCCTCTCCCTCCCTCCCTCCAACCACATACATAGATGGAAAAATAGTTAGAGAGCATGGAACTCACAGGAAGACAGATTGATGGTGAAGATGTCACGTCATGTTTGAAGATGATGANTCCTGGTGACTTAATGGACACATTCCTCCAAGCAGTTTGGAGTTGTTCTTTGACTTCCAACTCTCACTTATAACCATGCAAATCCCTTGAGGTCCCCCAATTAAGCATGAACTAAGTCTATCCTACTTCGTTTTGATCCCAGATTGGGTCAGTCCAGCGCTGTCCTCTGCTGAAGCCAGGAAAAAAGTTGGTTATCAATTAGTCACACTAACTAATAATATACCGTAGAAATGCCATCTTCCTCTTTGTGCTTGTAGATTACTGATATACAGAATGCACCCTCAAAACCTGAAGTGCTGTATTGCCAGCCACCTGCAGAGTTCAAGAGACAGGGGCAGCCACCACCCCCGGTTTTTCCAGCTAACTATACAAAGAAACTCCCCTTTCTGGAACATCAGACCGAGGAGAAACATTTGCCAAAACGAACTCCGCCAAGCAGGCCTGCACCTCCACCTCCAAACGTCATAGTTCAGCAGGTGAAGAATTTATATACCTATGAAATCCTCTTTGTCAGTAACTTTGGGTAAGCTGTACAGGTGTTTTAAAAATAGTGAACATTCAAACAACTGCATTTGGTATTTGCTAGGAAAGGCGTGCTAATGAAACTTTAGAGTAGAAGTATCTGCTTCAGTGGGACTATACATTGTGTATAATTGGATCATATATTTTTCTCATCACAGATATAAACCGTGTATCATTTGGGTGTGTCTTATATGAGATTGACTGTCACTTGTACTGACATGACCTGGCCTATAAGGAGAGCACTCAATTCTTTTGTGTAAGCAAGTATTGGCAAGGAAAATATATAGGATTATATAAGGGCAGATGGGTTTTTGACTGATGAATTGATGCAGCAAGGGAACATAGTGGTTGATGTGGTAATATATATGAAAGTAGTCCAGGACCCAGCATTACCGTAAGAGAAGTGTTTATTCTTAGTAGAATGGTTTTGCTTGTATATATCAGAAGGAGAGAACTAAGCTTTAAAAAAAGATTCCCATCAATAAATAGCAAAGGACTTGCATTTCTGTATTTTGATGGGATTACTGTCAAAGTTTAGTAGGGTAGCATATAGGGGCTTGAGAGCTGCAAAAAGGGAGAGGGAGGAGCTCCTCACAAACCAGATTTCTCTTACTGCCCTTACCATTTCGTCTCAAACCAGGTTGAAGTTGGTTGGCAAAACCAATAAGGTTGAAATGACAGCACCACCTTGTGTCTGATGAATTTCCCTTCCAATCTGTTTTCTGCCTAGAACATCCCCTCATTTCAGTGGCCTGGAGGTGTGACCAGGCAGGACTTTATTTTTAGTGTGGCATAATGTGTAGTTGGTTTAGTAAACCAACTACAGATTTTTAACTTAGCCTCATGGCTGAACCAAAGCATGTCTCAATATTATCTTTCATTAGTTGCTAGGCCCTGACAGGCTATAACTGTTCATCCATTGAAACCAAGGGTGCCCAGCTTTTCCTGAATATGATTGTGTAAATACATCGTGGATGTATGGACATGACAGTTATGATGCTTAGATTCGGAATCTGTCTGATCCGATTTATCTACAACAACCAGAAAGTCTGGCATGGGACTGCAGTGAAGAGAACTCTGAAATTGATGCAGCCTGAAGAAAATACTGCTATTGTATTTCATACTGATGTTTCTGGGCTTTCTGTAGGATCAGTCCCATATATAGCACATTGCATTAATCTGTACAACTAGTTGCTAGAGCATAAACATAGAAATAGAGAGGCAGTGCCATATGCATATAGGTAAAACCAGGGATAAAATGGGCCTTTCAGAACAAAAGAACAATGTTTCCTTCCTACAGATTCTTAAATCCCATCCCATACCTTTTCACATTGATTCCTGACTCTGACTTCGGCTTTCTTATATGGAAAATCAGCAGCAGTTGAGGAGGGGTGTGTGAGCCATGGGCGGACAGATAAACAGAGAGCAATAGCACTTAGACTTTTTGCAGCCCTCTCTAAGTGGTTCACAGAGTCATCAGATTGCCCCCAACAATCTGGGTCCTCATTTTACTTACCTCAGAAGGATGGAAGTTTGAGTCAACCTTGATCCGGTAAGGATCATTCCTGGCAGTGGGAATGCAGAGTCATCCTGCACTACTGCATTCTAACCACTGCACCACATTGGCTCTTGATACACACAGATACACATACACACACAAACACAGGAAAAGCATGGTGGGAGGAATATACATCTTCCAAAAATGCAAATTTTCTCTTATTATATAATATACTTCATAAAGCATGAAAAGGAAGAACAGATTATAATTACCTTAAATTGGTCTTCTCAAATCTGGTGGCCTCCAGGTGTATTGCATTGCTGCCCATGAATTCTGAAGTTGCAACACCACCACATTTGGGCAATTTCAAGTTGGGGAATATACCTTAAATCATGAATAAGTACTGTTTCTTCTGCCTAATAAATTGCTTTTCATTCTGAGCTCTTAATAGATATCTATTTATCTACCCAGTTATTAGATCCGTATTATGTTTATTCTCTCTCTCTCCCTCTCCCTCCCTCCCTCTCTCTCTCTCTCTCTCTATCCTCACAAAAACTGAAGAATTCTTACTTTTTGCCCTAGGATTCTTCCAGACTAAGACCACCTCAGAGAGCGCTTCCAGCTAATCCAGTCTCTTCAAGCAAGAGGACAGGGTTGTCCAAAGTGAATACAGGAACAGTACCATCATATGGCACTGCAAGGAATACAGGAATTCATGCGGTCTTGGCAGAGGTGAGCTATAAAATGGTAACAAGGATATACAAACAAAAGGTAAAGGAAAAAACAACACTCGAGTGTTGTGTGATATTTTTCCTAATTTGAAATATTCAACCGGACACCTGATATCAATTTTTTTTCTCGTGTTTTAAAAAGGACAGAAAGATAAGTTGATTTAAGAGAAGAGTAGTAAAGATATTAAGATAATTGTAGCATGATATTTTCCAGGGGTAGAAAAGCCTAAAACTAAAATTCACCAACAGATGCAAAAAGCTTGAGACAGTGAAATGTCACTGGAAAATTCTCAAGGCTCCAGATAAGTCTTTCATGGAAGACTCTAGTCCAGGGGTCTTCAAACTTGGCCCTTTTATGACTTGTGGACTTCAACTCCCAGAATTCCTCAGCTAGGCATGCTGAGGAATACCCCTGCTTGATCTGCCTCAATTGGCTTCACGAAAAGTATTAAACCCTGAATTAAAAGGTGAAAACAACACATTGAATTTGGCCCAGGAATGACGGGGAAGGAACAGAGTCACAGATCTCCTGGGAGATGATGTGTGATTGGGTCCAGGCAGTGGTAAATGCATCTCTGAAGATGGTTCTAATGGTTCCCCTGGCTCTTAAAGAGGCAGTGGTTTGTCCCCTCAAGTAGCCCTACCTGAATCCAGTGGTACTGGCAATTTTTGTCTGGTTTCCAATTCTTCAATTTAGGGAAGGTTGAAGGAAAATTATCAATTTACAGCTCCTGTAGGCCAGCATAATGTTGGTTGAAGATATGAATATGTGTATACTTTGTATGCGGATTAAACCAATGTTGTTGACTATGATTTGTGGTAAATGCCCAGCTGATAGAATGAAGAACAGGGATCTTAAAATTACTGTGTCAAAGCTCAAGGTAGTTGTATTTTGGGAAGGAAATTGAGTAAATTATTGCAATGTGTACTTTGATGGTCAGCAGTTAGTGCAAGTAGGTACATTTGTGTACTTGGGTAGAAAGTTTACTAAATAAGGGAATATGCTGAAATTTGGAGAATGCAAATCCTGACAGAAACCTAGTGGGTAAATAGGTAGTCTAACAGAATATTGTTGGAAGGGACCTTGAAGGTCCAATCCCCTGCTGAAGCAGGAAACCCTATGTCATTTCAGACAAATGGTTGTCCAATCTCTTCTTAAAAACCTCCAATATTGGAGTAGCCACAATTTCTGAAAGTGAACAGTTCTACTAGTTAATTGTTCTGTTAAGAAATTTCTCCTTAGTTTTAGGTTGCTTCTCTTCATGATTAATTTCCATCCGTTGCTTCTTGTTCTGCCTTCAGGTGCTTCAGAGAATAGGTTGACCCCCTCTTCTTTGTGGCAAAGATGGCTAGAGCCTGCTTCACCCACTTTATAATATGGAAGTGAAACTGTAAAGTGTTAGGAAAAATTAGAAGTCAGCCGAATGAAGTGGAGAATGGATGATTTAACTTGCAGTATAAAAAAGAAGAGAGTCAACAATGAACAGGTGATGATTGAGTGTAGATCAAAAACAAAATTGAGTCTTCAGTATAAACATTTGAGTGGGGATGTGTAGAAAGTGTAAATGGCTGAAGAATAAAGAGTATACCAAGAAAATTATGGCTGGATGAAGTTGATGTGATCTTGAAAAGGAGAGAGGTGAATTTGAGAGAATAAATGGCAATATGTGAAATTGTGTATGGATGTAGAAACAAGAAAAGTTGCAAAGCTGGAGAGCTACTGAATAGTTGCTGTAAATTCATTCCATTCAGATTCTTCATTAACTAAGAACAACAACATATTTTCATAGTCAGTGATCAGCGCAAACATGAAGTAAATTAGAGAAAGCATTTTAGATTGAAATACAATGCATATTTAGTAGCCATTCTATTTTATTGCATTCAGCAGAGCTATGTGGATCAGACCATAATTCACTTATGGAAAGAAATAATGTGTCATTTAAAATGTTTGCATGTTGGAAATCTCCATTGTTCCACCTAAATGCAAATATACCTCTAGTACAGGGGTCTTCAAACTTGGCCCTTTTATGACTTGTGGACTTCAACTCCCAGAATTCCTCAGCCAGGAAGACCCCTGCTCTAGTTTCTTCTATCTGAGACAAAACAATACTAAAATTCTTTTATCTTTTCTAGAATCGAGCCATGAGAAATCCTGGAACAGCACATACTCTGAAGTTTAGAAACTGAATTTTGTCCTACGGTTCTAAAATCTACATCAATTCCATTTGGTTTCACCTGGAATTTTCAAGGGCTGTGTTTCATTTTGTACAAATCTCAGGCCTAAAGTTACTGAGGCCAATTTCAGAACAACCTTTAGGAAAGGACCCCATATTTTGTGGCATGGGCTGATGCAATTCTCTAGAAAAGGTCTAGCGATCTCCCAGTACATACCAAGGACCTTTCTCCATTAAATTTGTTTATTTAAATTCACATGCGGAGAGAAGCAGAGGACCTAATTACTCCTGTAATTCATTGTTTCAACAATAGACAGATTGAATAATCAACATTGCATAATGGAGCCAATACAGTACATCTATCTATGAACACTTTCGGGAACAAAATCTGAAGTCCTTTGAAGAGGGAAATGTGATGCCCTAACACAGTGGTTCTCAACCTGTGGATCGGGACCCCATTTGGGGTCAATTGACCATTTCATGGGGGTCGCCAAGCAAGGCTGTCCGCCATTTTTTTTGTCCGCCTTTTTTCCCCCTTTTCCGGCGGGTGCCTTACCTCCCTTGGGCTGGGCCAGCTGGTGGTCAGCCTGCTCCGTCTCTGCCGCTTGCCAGCTACGCCTCGGCCGGCGCAGGGGGCGGAACCACGCATGCGTGGCGCTCCCGGGCAGGGAAAGTCCTCGACTTACGACCGGTTGGGTAGTCCTTGACTTACGACTGGTTTAGTCCTCGACTTACGACTGGTTTAGTCCTCGACTTACGACCGGTTTAGTCCTTGACTTACGACCGGTTTAGTCCTCGACTTATGACCGGTTGGGGTCGCGGCATTAAAAAGGTTGAGAACCACTGCCCTAACAGCATCTCATGCTGGTGAAAGATCCTCCCAAACTATTTTAGATCATATAGAAGAGTTTCCTAATTTGAAGGATTTTGCTGTATATGCATTTAAGAGAAGAATCTTCTACTTACATATATGTAACCTCTTATATTCTTCTATGGAGACAGCTGTCAGTCCAAAGTTTTTTCAGTCCATAGTTTTTCAGAATTTAGAAATTTAGAAATTTTAGCAATGTAAGTGCCGTGAGTTCATATTTTGCCTTGAACTTCCACGGTCCTCTGAGGTATACTCAGGTCTACTTGCCTTGAAATTGTAACAAGTACTGACCAGCTATGCAGGGGTGTTTTTGTGATGGCAAATGTTTCCCTTCAGCCTGGATGGTCTTGGCATTATTTCTTCTCAGCTGTATTTGCTTCAGGTCTTATGCAGTGGTGGGATTCAGCCAGTTTGCACCACTTCGGCAGAACCGGTAGCTAATTTTTTGTTGCCCAGGTCCAGAGTGGACTTCCGGAAGCGGCATCCACACAGAGAAGTGGTTGTTCACATATTTGAATCCCACCACTGATCTTATGTATCTCTGAAATGCAACCTTGGGAAGCGATTGCTGAATTTTCCTCAAGTGTTATATGAGGAAATTCCAACAGAAAGTGAAGAATGGAGAGATGCTTCCATTATGATGCCCTTCTCTAGTCCAAAAGAAAATATGTTGAAGTGAGTTCATAAACCTTTTATATGAAGAGAAAAGTGGGATCTTTTAGAGGGGACTAGAATAGAGAAGAAAATGACAAAAATTAGGTTGGACTGTATCATGCATGGGGCAGGGGCAGGATTTTGTTTGTTTGTAGATGAGGTAGGGTAGGTTTTTAAAGTTGTATTATGCCTATTTTAGGTAACTTTAGAGTTTATTTATTGTCTGTCTTGAAATGACAGGAACCAACATTTTGCGGTACAGTTGGAGAAGGTGCAAAAAAGAGACTTTTTAAAATTCTTTTGTTCTGAAGGATGTGGCAAACCCTTGTCCCAATACCCGATGGTGTGCTGGCTTCTCCTGGCTCACGAGAGCCAATTGTTAAATTTTCTTGAATTTTGTGAGCTGATTGAGAACAGAACTCTGAGCTTACAATGTCTAGCACACTGATCACCATTTATCAGCACATCACTACCCATATTTCACGCACTGGGAGATCCTCATGGATTTTGCTGCATGGACTTTACCTTCATGAGGACAAAAAAGGATGAGATATATTATCCAGGGTCCACACAGTGTTTTTGTCACTGCTGCCCCTCAGTTAATATTACCAAGACACTCTACTTAAGGTAGTTTTTTAAAAATGTATTTATCTTTCATATAGACTGAGATTATTCACTTAAAACATTTCAAAACTGTCCTTAATGTAACTAGTAACTTTTTATGCTTTCCAATTTGGCACTGGCATAAAGAATACAGCAAATTTATAATAAGAACAAAGTCATCAGATAAGGTACCACAGTGACCTTTATAACACCATTATAACGGGGAATTTCCTGATTAAAATGCAATGCAGAACTAATTATAAGTGTCCTGTTGATCAGTGGTTTTCCTGCCATGTTACTTTACTCATCCAACATTCAAAGTTTTATAAGCTTCTCATTCCAATTCATTTGAGGATACCTAATGATCCAGCTTAATTAGATATCCACCAGAGTCCACGAAGATCAAAATAGGCTTTTTGATTCATGGTGCTAGTTGGGCAGTTGATAAAAGTCTATTGTTTGTCTATCTGTGTTCCACAAGTTGTTTTTGCACTGTAAACAACCATGAATCCTAGTGATACAATTGTAACACTGAGGCATATACGAAGCTTCACAAATGTTCTCAGGTTTTAAGCGGTGCTTCTTTTATCCTGTGGAAATTTTTTTCCAGTTTACTTTGCAATATGTTGGTGCTAAAGAAATGATGTTTGGTTTCTGATGACGTAAAATTACCATGGTTAGTCTAGGTGATATAGAGGGACAATGCATATAATGTGTTAGTGCGCTACACATTTTTTTCTGTTTTTAAAACTTACTCCAGTTTTAACTATAAGTATCTGAACTGTGACAGAGTGAATATAATCCAGTTACCCTACATGCTAGTTCAAGAGTCCATGCAGATATCTAAAATTATGTTCCTGAAAATATTATTTCAAGTTGGGCATGTCAAATAGTATTTTAATTGCATACCGTACATTGCCAGGGCACAACGTAATATTGTATGTTTAAGTTTCATACTGAATATTTGTAGCCACAAGAAGAGCAAATCTTTCCCACGATCTTTCTCTGGTGCTCATTACTTCCTAGCAAAACTACACAGTTATTTGTAATATGAATGAAGAGTTTTCTAGTCCCTTTATATTTAATTTCTTCTGAACGAAGGAGTGTATTTGTAGAAATGTGCACGGAATAGGAAACATGTTGCAGTTTTTGCTCAAAACAAAATAGCTCTCCTTAATACATACTATTAAAACACTACTGCTTAACCGTGTTGTGCTAGAACATAGTTTGAAAAGTTTCATTCTGTTGGACAAAGCTTGAAACTGTTAAAAGTATTCTGATCATAGGATTTACTGTAGTGGGAACTCTAGATTAACTTGTTTTTTCTTATTTTTCATGCCAGAGCTGCAAAAGTTTATAGATTAGCATTTCGTGCCAAGTTTTTATGTGGAAAATTTGATCAAGTAAAAACTAACACCCCACCGCCATTTTTTGAAAAACATTAAATCTGGACAGGAAACAAGAGGAACAGAGTTCTGCTCTAACCATGTATTCTTTTCTCTGTACAACCCACATCTGTTTGTTCAGTATGAACAACAACAGCAAGAGCATCACTTAATCCTTGCTATTCTACCAGTGTGCTGAAAAAGTGTGAGAAAAAGGAACCTAGTGATAAGCCCCAAAGCAATAGTCCAGCTGCAGTTCTCAGAACAGGTAAAACACCGAAAATGACTCCAAACTATGCACAAAATTTCACACTCAGAACCAACTGCTGAACCAATTCAGAACCAAATGACTCTTTTGTTCCATGTTTGCAGTAGCTGAAATGATCATTTTTAAAACCAAAGTATTTTGTGCGTTCCTAGGTATATGTTTCAAACCCACACCAATCTAGCAACTCTTTTACAATAGGAAAGTATCTAGAACAGGGGTCTTCAAACTTGGCCCTTTTATGACTTGTGGTCATAAAAGGGCCAAATTTGAAGACCCCTGATCTAGAAAGTACATGTCATACAGAGTTATTCTTGGCCCTTTGAAGATGATACATTTTCAATATTATCACTATGTCATTCAAAATTACATCTGCAGGAGTTGAAGCCTTGCTGTAGCCATATCATCCAGGAGACAAGTAATGACTAACCTTTAATGAAATGCAAACACATCCTGCATTCCCAGTCTTGCATATTCTGAAAATCTGTTTCCAAAACCTTGCAGAATCCTATTTAAAAAATCCTTTACTGAGGGCCATGGCAAGTGAAGACCCCCCCAAAAAATCATATTCTTAATTTAGCACTGCTTTGAATAAATATGCACAATCCTGCTGTTTCTTCCACTAACCTTTATTTGGCCTATTTCATATTGTTTCAAGGTGGCTATATTTCCAAGAATATTATACAGCCAAAAGGATATCTTTTTAATCAGATTGCTACTTCTTAAAAGAGTGACTCCCTCATAAGTTCTAAAATTAGCATCCTGCTCCCTTCTAACTGGTGCACGGATACACCTGTGTGTTCTCCCTCTACCTCTTGTGGATAACAGAAATTTCCTTGTGTGATACAGTTAATGCACGATGGAATGAATTTTGGTACATCTCCTAACTATGTTCTAGAGGAGCCTTTTCAGATGCCAGAAATGACAGTCTTAACTATATAGTATATGCCTTAATACTGATAATACTTCACCTAATTGTTTTTTCGTATGCATGGCATAGATTGGGAGAAAAGTGCTACAGTACATGTGGCTACCGCTCAATAAATATTGAATCAGATTGTGCTCCAGATTGTTGAGCTTATTTCCAAGTTTAATAAACGCTAGAGCTGCGCAGTGCTTTGGATTCAAAGGCAAAAGGCAAGATCAGGGTTCACCAAATTAGAGGGGGGAGGGAGGGAAAGTCAAACATGGAACATTTTCCAAGCCATGCATTATCTGGAGATGATAATTGCTGC